GTTCTACTTCACATGGAGTTGCTAAGCTAAGGTCTCTGGTTGGTACAAATCATCTGCTCTCAAATACTAACTGAAAAGTTGGCAATTCACATCCACCCAGCCACAAGCATTACAGAGGAAAGACTCCAAATAATAGACTGAAACCCACTGCCATCAAGTAGCAACACTCCACTGGGTTTTTAAGGCTGTGAATCTTTACAGATGGAAATGACCCATCTTTCTTCCATAGAGTGGCTGCTTCATTTGAACCACTGACATTTCACTCAGGAATTCAACACATTGAACAATATGCTACCCGAGCTCCTAAAAAATAATTTCTGTGGTGCTCATGTTACCTTTGACATATGAGTTACTGTAAATTGGAATAAACTCAGTGTACTGAGCTTGGCTTGGTTTGATTTTATGAGTAAGACTCTGTTCTACAAGTAAAAGAATGAACATATGACATTTATAAACTCAAATATCAATGGCTGAGATATTTGTGAGGAACAGAAGAAGATTCTGATAGGTCTTGATACCACAAACTATACAGAGTTCCTTTAAGACATACTGAACCAATACATGATTTGTCCTACATGTGACTTTAAGCTAACATCACATTCATTTCACATATAGGCGATGGCTTCACACACACACACACACACACAAAAACCAAAACAAACTCTGGGAACAAAACTCACCCCCCCCATTACTGTAGATTTTCACACAACTGTGAAAAGAAGTGCCAACGGCAAGAAACGGCTTAGCATCAATGTAACGTTAGAACTGCATCAAGGCCGATATTTCCTTAAAAGGTTTCAAAGCAACTGTGTTCAAAGTAGTCAGGAGAAATGGAATCCATGGCTAGTTAGCTTTGGAAAACTTTGGGTTAAATAAAATTACACATGCTTCTTTATAGAATGTTCTTAAGATGCATTATGGCTCCATCCTCTCTCTGGATACTTTTTTTAAATTTTTTTTTTTAATGCTTCACGAATTTGCATGTCAGCCTTGCACAGGGGCCATGCTAATCTTTTCTGTATCGTTCCAATTTTTTAGTATATGTGCTGCCGAGGCGAGCACTAAATTTTTTTAAATTATTTTGGTTTTGTACCGTCAAATCGGATCTGACTGGTACAGGAGATTGTTCCTCCTTCAGGAGAGCATCTGGTGGATTCGAACCACATTCCTCTGGGATTGCAGTGCAGCTTCTTGCCACTAGTCCATAAGAACTTGCCTCTCTGCATACTCTTAATACATCCTAGTGTCTCCTCCATAACTGATTGTTGTTATGTACAGTCAAATTGGAACAGACTCACAGCTGACCTTGTAGCAGGTTTTTCAGAAGCAATAAATCAGACAGAAGGAGACTGCTCATCTTTCTCCAGAGGAGCAGTTGGTGGGTTCAAATCACATGCCTTCAAGTTGGCAACATAGATCCTTACTATCATGTCATCAGAGCTTTCTCTGTAACAGGTAGGGTGGCAATAATCAAAACCCCAAATCCATTGCCATCATGTCAATTCCAGGTTTATAGAGTTTCTAAGACCGTAAATCTTTACAGTTGCAGACTGTCACATATTTCTACCACAGGCAGCTGGTGAGTTTGAACAACTGACCTTTATGTTAGCAGCAGAGAACTTAACTACAGCAACAGGACATCAAAAGGAATGGGTATTTAAGACGTCTTTAAAGAGATTGATTGTTAGAATATGTTCTTTCTTGAACTAGTGTTTGAGTTTTGCTGAATAACATGTTAAGCAGGGGCTAGGGTGTTGCTAGTGATTCACTTGCTTGGCCACACCCAGAGGTGTCTCAGAAGCAAAACTTGCTGATCGACTTCTGACAAGTGAGCCCTGGAGACTCTGTGGGGCACAGTGGTCCTCCAACACACACGGTGCCGCTACAACTTAGAACAGATTTGACTTTTTTTAGACTTAACCTGTTTACTTTCAGACCTAAGGCTGCTCTTTCATGAAGAACTCTAGCAAATCATAGGGAAACTGGGTATGTGTCTATATAAATTCCAGCTAAGGAGCCCTGGTGGCATACCTAGGTGGTGAGAAGTTGCACTGCCATCTGAAAGGCAGGTGGTTCAAATTCACCAGCCGCTCCAAGGAGAAAGATGAGCATCTGCTCCTATGCAATTCACAGCCTCTGAAAACCCTCTGGAGGGTCAGCTGAGTCAGTTCTTACTCAACAGTACATTATAATAACAGTCTTCTCCTGTTAGATAAAAGCTATCTGAAGATGGGGCTCCATCCAACCATTTTCCTCACCCCGGCCACCACTCTGTCCAAAGCGTAACTCAGAGTTGTTGTTTTTTTAAAAAAAAAAAGCTATTGAAATGAATCTGGGCATTAGGCCCTGAGCCAGAACTGCAACAAAAACAGAGTCTGGATGTAGCCATCCAAAGTGTTGAAAAAGATAATAAACCCCTATTACTTCACTGCAGCCCCAGAGTCAGCTGACTCAGTCCTGGGTGGACTGAGGGTCACCTTGGCAACCCAGTAAGTCCCCCCACAGATTATGGATTATCCCTCCCTCCCGCCTGCAGGGCTGGTTAAGGCAGGAGCTGCTCTAGGCTCACCCTTACCTCCTTATCCTTCTTGGCTTTCTCTAAGGAGTTGAACAGTGTCTGACGCTCCTGATCTGTTTGGCCCACCAGGTTCTTTATCTCCTTCATCCCCTTGAGGGCATTCTGAATTTCCTCATCGACGTACTTACTCCCCTGGGTGGACATTTCTGCAACCAAAGGGCAAGGAGGTAAAAGAAGGCTGGAGAAATAGATGGTGTTGGGGGTCTAAGCATGGTGCCAGATAGAACAAACAGGAAATCACGTTTTACCAACGATCGGTCAAGCCTGGGAGCCCTGGTAGACAACATTTTGACCCCAGCCTTGCCTAACAGATTCTCATCACAGAGCTGGTTCACTGGTTCACACACACAACAGGAAATGGCATCAGTGCTCAGACACATACAGTATCAGGGGCTGGTGTCCCAAGAAAAGTGACAGTGGCACAGGGTCCAACCACTGCTTTGTGAACCTGGAGAATAAGCTGGGCCACAAAAGAAAATCTGGAAGGAGATTAAAAAAAGTAAAGTGCTAACTTTGAGCACCAAAGTGTAAATATTATTATTTCAGACACAAAACTCTAGAATTCCTTTAAACAAACATTTATGGTTCTTTGTTCCAAGGCATTGTTCTGGGGAGTGGATATAAAGATGAATTATCATATTTTTATACAAATAAATTGAGCTTTCTGCATCTGTTTGCCAACTGCTTCCTCTTCCCAGAGGTATTCTGGGAAACACTGCTCTGCCAATTCTTTCTCTTTATACTTCGCTGCTGTTGTTTTTGCTAGGTGCCATCAAGCTGACTATGACTCATAGTGACCTTATGAACAACAGATCTGACTCTTGCCCTCTCCTGTACCATCTTCTCGTTCTCTGTCAAGCTTAAGTCCACTGGAGCAGCCACTGGTCGATACTTGCCAAGGGTCTTCTCTTTCACCCACCATTCCCAGCATGATGTCTCTAAGGACTGATTCTTCCAGAAAACATTAATATACATAAAAGTGGCTGATTTGAATCTGTGGCCCTCAGGCCTGGTTATTATTGCTTTTGGTCAAATATTCTTCTAAGTGATATAGCACTGGTCTATCTATTTGCTGTACAGAGGTAACTCGTGATTGCTGTGATGCTCAACCCTGTGACACTGATGTGTCAAATGTGATAATGGTTATGCATGGTGGACAGTGTTTGGTGGAGTTCCCTGATTAAAACAAGCTTGAAAGCAAGAGTGGCATCCACTTCTGTAATAGCTTGCCTCCGAAACCCTGTGAACCTGAAGAAAGGACGAAAGTTATACAATTGTTCAGGTCTTTCATTCATAGGGTCACTATGAGTCATCTACAACTCAACGGCACTTAACAACAACATTGCAATTCTGGTGGTGTACTGGAGAGTCGGAACCAACCCATAGCTGACCCTCCAGCGGGTTTTCAGAGGCAGTAATTGAATGGGAGGAGATTGTTCATCTTCCTCTCTGGGCATGTATTCCCATCCCATCTGAACCCTGTGACGCTGATGTGTCAAATTTGATAATGGTTATGCATGGTGGACAGTGTTTGGTGGAGTCCCCTGATTAAAACAAGCTTGAAAGCAAGAGTCATTTGACACATTGACACATTTGACACATCAGCGTCACAGGGTTCAGCATCACAGCAACCACGAGTTACCTCTGTGCAGCAAATAGATCAGTGCTATATCACTTGGAAGAATATTTGACCAACAAGATGAAACAACTTGTGGATTCAAACCGCATAACTTTGGGTTAGCAGCACAACTCCTTACCACTAAGACAGCAGAACTCCCTTATATACATATAGCACTACATAGAAATTTGCCTAGCATGCTAATGAAAATAACTGGAGCTGAGGATGGTGGTCCTTTTTGTGTAGCTGTCAGACAAATGCAGGCGGCATGTATTATTTGTATAAAAATATGGTGAAAACACCTTTCCTCAAGGAGAATGATTAAGAAGACATAATACTCTTCTTGTAACAAATCCAACTAGAGATGTGTAATCCTGAAGAGTAGTAGCCCACATTTGTATAGCGTATGCTCAGGCTGTGCTGGCACTTCCTCCATGCTCTCAGGACAACCACCCTTCACATTTCACACATGAGGAAAGGAAGCACACTGGGATGTCACATGGCTGGGACATGGTGGAGCCAGGACTCATAACCAGGCTTGATCTCAAACTTAGGGCTTCTAACCACTAAAAGCAAACCCTACCCACTGCTATTGAATCAATTCTAACCCATAGCCACCCTGTATATTTGAACCACCAGTTCAGAAGAACTCATTAGCTATTAGGTGAAGAATGAAAGGATTAGGAAAAGGCCTCTCTGAAAAAACAGACCTCCTAGCTGAGAGCCCTGAAGGATGACCACTCTTCATACTAAGCCGCATATCTCCCTCTGCCCTTCTGAGCAGAGGACAGCAAGTGCAGTTATCGGAATGGAGAGGTGGAGAACTGAGCTGTGTGAAATACCATTGTATTTCACAATGAGGAGAGGTCAACAGAGGGCTCTAAGGATCAAGGGACAGGGACAGCAGCCTGCAGGAAGAAGTAGGATCTGGGCTTTGAATGAAGGTAAAGGAGGATATAGCCAGGCAATTAGTCCAGGATCTGAAAGGCAGTAGCCAGAAAGGGTTTGGCCTTGATGGGAAAATGTTTAGGAGTCAGCCTGACCACAAAAGTTTAAGCTAAGGGGTAGAGGCTGAAAGATGGACAGAGAGAGGAAGTCAGACCCTATGCATGAAATTCAGATTATCTCTAACCCTTGGAGTCCTGGCAGAGAAATTATTCAGCCGGAGCATCTGCTCTGGGCCATGCAGAGGGCTAAGGAGACTCCCTGCCTGGCTGAGAGATGGCACTCTTTGCCTACTTACGCTGGAGTTCATTGGACGAGAGTTCTTCTGCCAGAACCTGTCCTCTCTCCCTAGACAGCAGTAGGCCCAGAAGCAGCACAGGAAGAAGAGTCTTCATCTTGCCTTCTTCTTCTTCTGGAATCCTAGCACGTCCCTGTGTGTAGAGGACAGGAGAGTGTCATGGCAACGGGCTAATCAGCCTTTCAGCTTCCTGTCCAGTCTGCTGCCCACAGAGGCTTCCGAAATATGCACAACTCTGAGGCCGCTGCTGCTGTCACGGCTGTATTTTTTTTTTTATTTAATTTTATGTTGGTTTATTTACAAAGTAAGTGCACAATGCTTTTCACACTGATCTTTCACATTTCCTTTACCCACCCCTCACTGCTGTATTTTTATACCAGCGGAAAGTGGTATAAAACCCTCCATACTTTTCACTGAGTAGCTTCTAAAGAAATTGAAGGCAGTAGGTACAAGGCATCAACTATAGGACAACAGCAAAATGTAGAAGAAACAAGATTTGGAATGAAGAGACCTGGGCTCAATCTCAAGTTCTCCTCCCCTTCTTCCCCCACTTACCCCCATAATTGCCATATATGCCTAAGTAAAGCATGGGAACATTGTGTAGCTTGGCCTCTATGTGCAGAACGTGTAGCTATCTGATGATATTTATTCATACCAAACACTGGGAACACCTCCCTTTGATCATTTCCACTCTTCTTCGTGTACCCCCTCAAGCAAGGGCTGTAAGCCAGAGCTCTGACAAGTCCTGCACTGCAGTCAGTCTCCCTAGTCCTCAGCCACAGCAGACATTATTAATCAATCACTGCATTTTCCCTGCTGCTGAGCCTCCATGGCACCTAAAATGTCATTCCAAAAGGCAGTAACAACCAACTCTTTGTGTTGGCACAGCAAATTAAGCCCCTTTGGGAACCGAGCCAGGCTGTGTATGGATTCAGGAGTATAAATAGATAATATAGCAAGGAAAACGCTCTGCATGCAATAGAGGGAAGAGCGAAGGGAAAGGAACAGCAAACCCAGAGGGTTAATAGTGAGTCTGAGAGGCAGGCTTGGGCCCCAAAATTTCCCAGGAAAAGTCCCTTTGGGAGCACAAGACCTTCTGCTTTGCCAGGACTCTTGTCACATGCCCCTTTTCACTGACCCCAAACTCGTATGTCTTGCCAAGGTGCTCCTGAGCCAGGGATCCAGGCCACGGCCCCAGTCTTACACAACGGACCCATGATGTTGCATAAAGCAGAAACCCTTCCCCCTACCCCACTCCATTGCTTATCTGAACACACCCATTTCCTATAACAGAGGGAAAGGGATCCACACCTCCTTCCTGAAATTGCTCTCATCAAACAAAACAAAACCAAAAAAACACTCCGAAACAAAAGTCTAAATACTCTTTAGTCACTGGGTCCATTTGTATACTTGGCACAATGGCAACAGAGAAAGTCTCTCATGCAAACTAGTTAAGAAGGTATCTGGGTAGCAGTTCTCAAAGCAAACTCAGAGAGGAGGAGAAATGTGGGAGGAGAGGGCAGGGTCCTGTCCCCAGGACAGGGTGGGTGGCTGGAGACTGGGCACAATTCCAGGCACCCCGGAAAGACCCAGGTTATAGGCTCAATCTGTGCTGCTCACTGGCGCCTGCAGTGCCTCAAGGAGGAACAGAGCCAGAGAGACAAAGCGAGCAAAAAGCATCTCTCAAGAAGTCCCTGAAAGCAACAACTCCTGAAAAACCCACACAAGATCTTCTAAAGTTAGTTCTGACCAGGGACAGGGTGTGAGCCCTGAATAAATGGGGAGCAGAGCAGTCAAAGGCAAGAGCATTAGATGAGTCCAGGGACTGGGCAGCTTAAGCACGGTGTCCCTCCCCTCAGGAGCCTGGGGTCCTTGATGTGTCAGCAAACTCAGAGCTCAGAAAGGAATCATTCCTGTCCATCTCAGACAGGATGAGGCTCCCTGAGGCCCAAAGCAGGCACGCCACAACTTCAGCATGAAAACTCCCTACTTGCAGTCCAGTGCTCTTTGCTTGGCACTAAGCCACTTAAATTTCTGAGCCTCAGTTTCTTCCTCTGTAAAACAGACATGGTATGTAATCAAGAGGTGCGAATATGCTATCATAAATGTGAAGATCTAGTATAATCATGTTGTTGTTGTTATGTTGCCTTGAGTCGCCTGTGACCCATAGTGACCCTATGTACAGCAGCTCTGGAGCCTGCCTTGTCCTGAGCTAGTCTCACTGATTCCAACACAACAGCCCCCATCACCCCAGTTACTCTATCTCATTCGGGGTCTTCCTTTCCTGTGCTGTCCCTCCATCCTTCATAGCATAATGTCCTTCTCCAAGGACCAGTCTCCTGGCCACATGCCCACAGTATGTGAGCTAGAGCTTTCAAAATCCTAGCCTAATAAAGCGTAACTACTTGAAAATTTGACTTAGGACTAATTCTATTCACAATTCTGCTCACTGAAGGGAGGAATGTATCTGCAGAAGGCAGAGGATAAAAAGGTGCCTGTAATTCCTGCTCTGTGACTTTGCCATAGAAAAATCATGACCCCAAACCTCACTATTATTCTGTCAGTTTCAATGTACAGCAACCCTCCACGAGGTTTCCAAGACGGTAAATCTTTAGGGTGGGGGGAGACTTCCCACCTTTCTCCCATGGAATAGCTTCTGGATTCAAACTGCTGACCTTTTGGTTAGCAACACTACAAGCTGATACACTACAGACTCCCAAATGATCAACTCAGGGCTTCTCAAAGTTGAAAAGTGCTTAACGAATAACCTGGGCACCTTGTTAAAGCACTGATTCTGGGTCAATAGTTCTGGGGCACAGCTCCAGACTGCTTTTCTAGCAAGCTTGCAGATGATATTGATACTGCTGGTGCAAGGGCAGAATGAGATGATGTTGCACAGTCCACCCATCCCCCCTCTACCCTGGCCTGCCTCCAGTCAGCTCACAGCCACAGGCCCTGCCACTTGCCTCTGGCTGGGTGAGGCTTACTGAGGCCTTCTTTTCCCCACCACCACTACACAGGCTCCTTCCATCCAGAGAAGCTTAAACCACCTGGTTTGGTGCTTTCCATTAGTAAAACCTGGCTCTGTGGGTGAAGCAGCTATTGAAGGGAAAGAGGACAAGAAGATGAAGGAGCATCAGTCTGACTGCAAGAGCATCTTTCCTCTAGACATGCCTTCCTTGGTGCTCTTAACTCACCAGATTCCAGTAGACTCCCAAGCAACTTTCTCCGAAGCCAAAAGGCATCCCAGCAGTGTGGGATTAGGGGTTTAGAGAGCTCAACCCAGCAGTTTGAGATTAAAAGTTTAGAGAGAACAATTAAGTACAGAGGGAGCCAGGGAGAGGTCACAGAGATCTCAAAGTGTGGAAGAAAAACAATTAGCGAGCTGCAGGCCTAGGTCTAGTGCCAGCTTTCAAGCGCCCATCTTACTGCTGCCCTAAATACAGAAAATCAGACCCAACAAGAAAAACAAGAAAATCCATCGGTCACAATATTCAGAGGCAAATAGCAATATTTTTAAAAGATTTCCTTCTGTTTTCTGAGGGCTTTTTCCCCCTAAGGTTTTTTCTTTTTACCAGATCCTTTATACCTACAGTCTTCAAACATTCTTTAACAGTATATTTTTATGATTGTGTAATATTCTACTTTCTGATGGACCCTAGTTTATTTTGCCATCTTTTTTTTACTCCATTCATTCATTGTTGCATTTTCTTCCTTCTGCCTCTCCCCCCTTGCCATTCTTATTTGTTTTTAATTCCCCACTATCACAATGAACATTCTTATGTAAGAGTATCCTTCAATAGTATCTGGACTTTTAGATTCCTAAGATAATTTGAGCTTAAATTTAAAGTAATTTTAAAATTGCTTTCTAATAGCTATTGCTGTTAGGTGCTTTCCCATCATCTCCTATCAATGTTTTGACAATAGATGAGAAAGAACCCTGCCCAATCCTGTGCCATCGTCACCATCTCCACAATATTCAAGCCCATTGTTACAGTCGCTGTGTGCCACAGCCGTCTCACCGTCACACTCTCTTTTGCTGACCTTCTACCTTTCCCAGCGTGACGTCTTTTTCCAAGGACTGACCCCTCCTGACAACATGCCCAAATTGAGACAAAGTTATGTGCAATATAAATTTAGAAAAAGCCCTAAGCCTCAAGCCCAATAATTACTTATCAAATGAGCCTCTTGCATTAGACATCGGAGGGCTTCGGGTGGTTATGCACGATGAAGCAAGTGTTTGTACCGTATATTTAAGTCCCAAAGCTCACACTTGCAAACATACTACCTAGAGAACGGGAGAATTTGCAGAAAATAAGATGACTCATACCTGCAAAGCAACAACTACTGAGGAGATGAGCACCTTCACAGGCAAGATGGGGCCTGCAAACTGGCCCCCGCTCTGCCCAAAGGGCCAATCAAATCCTTTCTCCAAGTCTCAGTTTCCCCATCTTTGTGAAAGAGGATCATTACACCTGTTCTCGTTATCTGTCAGAACTGTGGTTGGAGCTAATGAGCGAGCCTCAGGAATCCCTGAGGCCCAGTCCATGTGCTGCTTCAGCATCCCATCGCCCCAACCATTCAGCACCTGGATCAGCTGGCTAGCTGCATTATGACGGGGCTCTGGCTACCTCAGTCCCGGGCCTCCCTTCTTGGATTTCTCTTAAGCCCAGGTCTGGCCACCCTGTCACCCTCTTCCCTCAATGGCTGCCACCTCCCACCCACTCATCCTTCCTGGTGTAGGTCGAACAGAGGGAAAGGAAAGATCGGGAAGTACACCTCACCGGTCCCCGACACCGGACCCAGTGCTCTCCTCCTCGCGGCGAGGGCTGCGTGGTGAGCGCAGCGAGGGCGCCAGTATTTATAGAGCTCTGCCTAGTACACACCCCCTGTGGGGCTGGCTGCAAACCTGCATGACTCAAGCCCGAAGAATGCCCCTGTGTGCGCTGCGAGCTTTCTGGAAGCCGACTCTGGGAGTGGGTGGAGCGGCTAGCAGTGTAGGACCGGAGGGAGGCTCTGGGGGGCGCGTGGGCATCGCGAATAACGCACAGGCTCCGTGGAGCCGGACGCGAGGGCGCACCATTTCAGGGGAGCTTC